AGGTAGCTAGACGGTATCTATAACTAGCCCATAAACCCGTGCGTTGCACGAGAAATCTAGGAACCCTTGGTGATCCATGTTTACGGTTTTATTAAATTTATCAATCATTTTATTTTTTTCTCATATTTCATATAATTTAAGTGTTTTTAAGCCACACTCCTTCAAAGTTTGAGGTATTTTAAATACTTTACTTTATTCTTATTGCTTATTATTTATTCTTATTTTATTCAGACCAGATCAAATAAGGGACAATTGCAGTCAGATCAAATCGGAAAAATTAAGATAGATGAGAAAGATTTAGATGTATAGTTATAGTTATAACTATAACTAGTATTATACCCGTGCGATGCACGGAAAATATATTTCTTATATAAAGACTAAGCTTTCGAATCATACAAATAATACATACAATTATATACTCGTGCAATTTAATAATTTCCCACATAAGAGTTTAATTATCGTAATGCAATATGTAGTGATATGAACTTTTAATATAAATGATAGCAAAATAAATAAGATTTCAAGATGGTAATCTAAAAACATATCAATTCTTTTGTGTCAAATTAATACATTATACAATACTTTTGAAGACTAATAAACAAATAGAATCATTTTTCTCATTTTCGATACAGATAACTTGAATTTAGTATGCCAACATCACAACAATTTGTTTTTAATCGCTTCCTTCATCCTCATACATCGTTGCTCACAAAGATAGCCCTCATTACTGGTCCGTGAGCAATTTATTCCACGTCGATCGTCGGCGTGTAGGTTCGTTTCTCATCGATTGTTGCCCTTTATCATCAACAAATAAATGATTCAGTGGTTCCTAGAAGATACCACATCCTCGAGTTTATGTCCACCTTTACATTATACTATCGTACAAAGTATGTAGAGATATATCTTGTAAAGAGCAATGCCAATGTGATGATATAACGTCGTACAATTTAAATTACTCCAAATTACATCAATTATTTATACACGGTTTACAAATTAAAGCAGCCTTTTAACATTGAAATTCAAGGCATCAAAGTTCGAGACAATGGATATTATAGATTCCGTTTTCAAATATACAAAATATACATATTGAACTATTTTTAATTTTAAGAAATCAAATTCAGCCACAAAATATGATTATTTAGCCTATCAAAATTTGATTCTAAACCCTCAATCATGATGTCGTCGTTCGAAATAATGACAACCTCGCCCAAAATAAAAGGTCCATCAGGACAGAACATTAAAATCTCATCATATCCTCTTCTCCGAATGTAAATCGATGTATCCCTAGACCCTAGTAATCAAAATTTAAATTTAACTTCATAAATTGAATCTTAAAAGGCAGAAAAAATAAAAGTTTTACAAATTCTAAAACACCTACTTCTATATAAGGAGTAACACATACGTTACCCGGCCTTGTATGTCTACAATCCTTTTATCGATGTTCATAGAACATCCTTTCTTTATCATCTTGAAAATAACTTGATAAATACGTATAGTACAGAGTATTCAGTAGTTAAGTTACAACTTGTATGTTTTGTGAATGTTGTATTTAATTAGTCACCTTGATACGACATTGATTCCAAATCCACACAAAACATGTTCTTTAGGCTGTAGGAGCTCCAAATCATTACATTTACCAAACCTTAGTTAACATATAGGCATTGTTTCTTTATTTAACCACTATTTAATTTTTCTTTCAAAAAAACGTCTATTTGGTTTCTAGAAATTGTAGAAGATAGGATAAAACATAAGCAAAATGCAAAAGTATAGTGAAAGTGTGTTTTATATCCAAATTGAAAATAATAATCCCAACTATTGGCAATCCGCTAACAATAATCCCAACTATTGATTATTTTTGTATAATCCCAACTATATAGACCATCCGCCAATAATGGTCCATGACCAGATATTAACTTCTATAACAAGTGAATTTTAAATAGAAATTAAGCGTAAAAATTTAACATTGACATTATTTATATGGATTACTTGTTATATCTCATCTCATCCACTTAAGAAACTACAAGAATTTATTTATAGGGACCATTATTGGCGGAAGGTCCCTAAAGTTGGGATTATTCTGGAATAATCAATAGTTGGGATTATTATGAGCGGACCGCCAATAGTTGGGATTATTACAATCAATTTTTCCTAAAAAGAATAGGTGGATTAAAACATCCTAAAATACCTCACAAAAAAACATCCTAAAATAGGAATGAATGTTTCTTATTTTGAGAATAAAATATAGTGGAATTAATAGTTCGGATTAGGGATCAAGGATAAGATACATTGCTTACATTAGTACGAGGATTTGGGGTATAGTGCTAAATTGCTAAAACAAAGTTTACTTAGTTAGCCTGTAACAAGTATCAGGGACCGCTGAAAGAAGGATAGATACAAAGATTGGGTTTGTTTAGGATTATTAATAATTAGATACAAAGTTTACTTTTATCAAATTTTCCAAAAATAAAAGAATATCCATTGCAACTTTAATAAAAAAACACTTAAGTACGAAGTAACCGGTGGGCGTAGCTCAACTGGTAGCGAGGGAGTGCCACAAGGGTTAGGTCTCGGGTTCAAATCACGGCAACTGCGATGAGGGGTTACTATGCTGAAAAATGCATGGGGCCTCTGCAAGTACCGGGGACAGAGCCCCACTCTCTATCTGTCAGATTGTGATTATAGTCCAATTTACATCCTTCCATCGTGCCGTCCGGTCGGTGTTGGGGGGCCTCAAGGATGAGGTGTCATCCTTTTTTTTACTTAAGTACGAAGTACTCCGTTTTCAATCATAATAACTCCTCATAAAGTAACTTGGAAAATTTTACCTTTCATGTGACACGTAACACAATATCTTTTTTGCTATAAACAACTCATATGAGTACAATTAATATTCTTTACAGTTTACACCGCCTAGGGTCACTCGATCCCTGAAATCTACTATCGGTTAGCATGAAATCTCCAATGATAATCGATTGTTGTAATTAAGGGTGGACATATCGATTTTCGGTTCGGTTTTTATTAGTTTCTGTTCGGTTCGGTTTGTAACTGGTTGAGAGAATTATTACCAAACAAAAACTACTATTTTTCAGTTTGGTTCGGTTCAGCTTGGTTTGGTTTGGAGTTTTTATTTTTTAATAGTATATGGGGAAAAGGGTCTGATAGACTTTCGAACTTACATAAAAATGTCAAATAAGCCCTTATATAGGAGGTTCTATCCGGTCATCACCATTTGGGGCGGTTCCCAGTAGAATTTTTTGATGAAAATTTTTTAACATCTTATTCATTAAGTCTAGTTTACTCATACCAAATTTCAGCTAAAACTTCAATCGGGAAGGCATTCAAATAAATTCTTGAAATTAACTGTGCATACAGTTCGATTCCGATTCGGTTTAGTTCGATTTGATATAGTTTGATTCGGGAGTATCACATATACTTACTCCAATTTTCGGACGAGCGAAAAAACGAATCTAAAAGTTTGAAATCGCCACGCACCATACCTGGCCGCAAGTTAGATAGAGAATCCATATGGAGGAAAAATAGAGCACTACATGTCATATTATCACTCACTCCTGGGCAGAAAAGTGTTTGGCCGTGTAAGAAGCTATGAGCATGGGACGGCTGGTGGCGGACTGGCGGCTATTTCTTAGGTGATGGACCAATTGAACATTAAAAAGAAAGTTGGTCCGTCCATAAAAAAGGCAGGTTTAATTTGAACATACTCCCCACGTATAATGTTTATTTGGAAAATAGTTGAGAGGAAAATAGAGTAAGGATGTTTTCTTTTGGACTGTTTTCAGTCCCAGACCAGATCAAGTCAGACCAGACCAGACCAAACCAGACCAGATCAGACCAGGCCAGACTTTCGTAGTTATAAAATACACAGAGACCAAACGTTTATCAGACCAGACCAAATCAAACCAGGTCAGATCAGACTAGACTGGCAAATTTCAGTCCGAAAGAAAACATCCTAATTACTAATTGCGAAGATTAAAATTTAGTGAGAAAAATAAGATCATTATAAAAACCAAAGGTCATGGAGAATGTATGTAAAAAGAAGGTAAAAAGTTAGAATACTTAGGTATTTTCATAAAAAATTTCCATCGAAGAGAATTGTTGCAAATATTTATGTTTTGAAATAATTGGGCCCGCAAGTCCCGTAACAAATATGACACACTTGAAATTGAGTGTCATCCCGTTCAGGTTGATACATACACCACCTCCTCGATCATATCCTTGTGTTAGTGTGATAGAGATAGTAGTTTTTATTTTTGATCTTATAAGTCCACACTACATAAAAACACGCGCTTAGTCACGGATTTTAGTCACGGATCCGATCCGTGACTACTTAGTCACGGTTGTATTCACGGACTAGTCACGAATTTTTAAAAATAAAGTTAGTCACGGATTTGGCTGTGACTAAATCCGTGACTAAACTTAGTCACGGCCTTAGTCCGTGACTAAGGTTCTCCAGTGACCGGACTTCCTTCTCCGGTTGATTTTATTTTACTCCGGTACTTAGTCACGGATATGTCCGTGACTTATATGAGTAGTTGTAGTGCCAACCCAATATGAGGAGTAACGTGACACAATATTTGTTAAGTGTAGCGTGTGGTTGTGTTTAATCCTTTCGTTTTCTTCACAACTCAAGTTGATCTTCTAGTGCTAATTTGAGTGGTGAACTCGTGACTGGTTCAATATGTTTTATCCCTCTACTTTCTTCTTATGTCAATCTAATTTTCAAGTCTTTGATTAAGGAATCGATGTGCTTTTTCACGAGGAATAATCATCTCCTTATATGATTGATTGGTGTGGGTATTGCTTGAATTGAATTGGACGAGATTTTTGTACACTCTATCTAGTTTTCGAGACGTTGTATATATACGACTATACGGAGTATATGCCAAATAAATTAAAAGGTTGCATTTTCAGATATCATCACTTGGAAAGGTAAATTAGACACTGTCCTTATCACTTATGTGACCAAATATAATTATCAAAGCTTGAAATATATAGATCATGAAAAACAATTCCAAATTTTACCAACTCATATATTATGAGAGCAAGAAAACCTTTCTCCATATCCTCGCTCTCCTAAGTGGGCTTGGCATGCCATTTGATTACGTGTATATACCAGATGGCATATATAACTTGTACAATCTTCGTTCTACTTACAGCTAGCTAGCCAGAAATTAAAGCTTGAATTCTGGCAACCACTCCCAATACACCTATATATATGTTGAAGAATTGGTCAGGATTCTTCAATTCTTAATCACTTGTTTTTTTTTTTTTTTTTGGTTTTCTTGATCATCAACTTGATGATGACGACAAAATGGAGGAATTTGGTTGAGGAGATGAAACCGGTAGTGATGATGGTGACGGTGATGGTGGCATACGGCGGAATGAGCATTTTGTACAAAGTGGCTTCCAATGGTGGGATGAGTTTGAGGGTTCTTATTGCTTACCGCTTCATCTTTGCTGCCGCTGTTATTACTCCTCTTGCCCTCTATATTGAGAGGTTTGTCTTTTCTTCCATCACTTCATTTCTTATTTTCTAGCGGGGTGTTTAGAATTAATTTTGCTTCAGCTTCTTTTCTAAAAAAAACGAAATCAAAATCAGTTTTTCAGAAACCGGTCTTACTCGGCTCTTGGAGGTATTTCGAATACCCAGAAATACAGTTTCACCCCAAACATTCCAATATTTGTTTCAACTATGTTAAAAATACAAGCATAGTTTTAAGAGATATCCAAACACTCGTTTGATTAAAAAAAACAGAGAAAATACTTGCTCATTCGTTTTGTTCACGTGTTTGAATTGACCGGGAAAATAGAATAATTGATTTCAGGTTACCACCTAAAAAAACCTGTGTGTATCGAAGATCTGTACGTGAATTTTTAAGGAATCTTTATTAGAGACACTTTTTATCGCCTTCAATGTCTTTTAATTTTTCTACAATGTAATAATTTAAGGTAGACGGTATCTATGATCTTAGTGATTGAATCCATCAATAGAATTAAACACTTGAAATATTATCAATTTTATCAAGTCAATTTAATACTAATAATCCCTATCTTTACTTATCTACACAAATCCCACTACTGGAATAATAAACCCAACTGGCTAGTCACTTAACTCAATTTACAAAAACGAATCAAAGGATTATGATAATAAAAAGATCGTTTCTATTTATGAAAAAAGCATTGAGAATGCTACGTAGTATATTTGATCTCAAATTAATTTATGTCCACTTTGAGTATAACTTAATACCCGTATTGAATATGATACATTTCATAAAAATATAGTATAAAAATATGAACAAATAGATCCATTTCTGTTCTACCAAAAAAATGAAATCTCTTCGATCTATCTACTCTTTTATTTCTTGTCAATATATATATTCTTCGTATACGTATACCGTAGTATGAAGGAATCAGAGTTAAATCGATTTCTATGGGTCACAAATTATTACTCCGGTATTAAAAAAAAGGGTGACAGTTTAAAAAGTTACACTACACTTGTCAAAGCTTATTATTTCAACATATATGTACTAGAATCGAGGGGCCTCTTCCGCCCCTCCTTGACCGCATAACTAAAGAATATTCATTGCAACTTTAATATAGAAACAATTAAATACGAAGTACTCCGTTTTCAATCATAATTCTTCATAAAGTAACTTTTACACCTTTCATGTGCTTAGTGGATGCTTTGTTACGTACTTACGTGACACATAACACAATATCCTTTTTGATAGAAACAACTCATATGAGTACAATTAATATTCACTAAAGTGGTACTTAAACATTTTAATTTGGAGCATCTAGCAAGCTAGATAATATCATAGATATGATTATGTCATATATATGTTGAAACAATTACGCTGCCTAGGGTCACTCGATCCCTGAAATCTACAATCGGCTAGCTTGAAATCTCTAATAATAATAATCGATTGTTGTAATAGCTCTATTTTTCTAGTTTTATTTCCCGAAAAGCTATTTTTTTAATTTAAAGAAAATGAAAACGAATATCGTACAAGGACCATAAAGTATCAAAAATTGAACCATCCATTCCCCAAATCTCTCCTTTGTGAGAAGTCTTGGGTTCAATTCCCACTAAAGAGAGATGAGGGATCGGAGGTCTTGTTCCCCATGATTCTCTCTACTTTCATGGAGTTGCTCAACGACTGAGAAGAGAGAGGATGATAATTAAGATATTGGGTTCATGTGGTGGGAGAAGCAACCTAGAACAAACGGTGATGTGAGTCATGCTGGATTAGTCCCCTTTGGAGCAGGTACCGACAAAGTTGATTGTGATCAGACTCTGGGATTATGTGGAGCGTGAGTCCCACCCTCTGGATTATAAACAAAGAGTTTAACCACTATATTTTATAAAGGGGAAATAGAAACTAATAATCCAACCTTTTAGCGGTCTTCTTACAATAATCCAACCTTTTGGTTATTCATAAATAATCCAACCTTTGCACCTCATCTTCATTCACTGGTCCCTGACCGGTTGATAACCTGCTATTCCAAGCTATTTTCTTATCTTTGCAAATCATTATACCAAAAATCTCATCTTTCACAAAGATAATATTTTGCAAAGATAAGAAAAGAACTTGGAATAGTAGGTCATTAACCGACCAGGGACCAATGAATGAAGATGAGGTACAAAGGTTGGATTATTCATGAATAATCAAAAGGTGAGATTATTGAAAGAAGACCGCTAAAAGGTTGGATTATTAGTTTCTATTTTCCCTTTTATAAATCAATAAATCAACATATAGGATTGACAAGAATAATAATTGTTTTTACAAAAGGAAGATAAATACTATCGTAGTAAAGGCGGCGTCAAATTTCAATTAAGCGTGGGCGCACACAATACGTACACACCTAGCTAGTAGCTAGGGACATCGAGACATTCGCTGAAAATGACTCAATAAAATACGGAGTAACATTTATTAATAAAAAATGTTATGTAGATCGAAAAAGATATACTCAATTCAACATGTAGATCGTAATAAAATGACTATTACTCAATTCAACATGTTAAATAAAAAATTTGATATTGAGTAAAACATTGACCGATAAGAAAGGTATAAAAAGGGTCAGATCAATGAATTCTTAGAGAGAATATGTTTCACTATGAGCCTATGATCAGTTTACTAAAGATTCTCAAATTAGTAGGACAAGTAAAACAAGTCGGAGGGAGAATTACGTTTTGAGAGCATCTCCAATGGTAAAATGTACACGGTGCACATGTGGCATGAGAAATAGCCACATAAATATTAACAAATAAATTGTCTTTCTCCTTATTTGAATGATATTATACAATTTTGGTATGTTTTTCCCTGCAATGCATATGTCAACGACAACGTCAACGACAATGTCAACATCTAGACGGTCTCCTTGACATTGTGGAGAAAAACTTACCAAAACTGTATAAAATCATTCAAATAAGGAGAGAAAGAATTTATTTACTAATATTTATGTGGCTATCTCTCATGCCACATGTGCACCGTGCACATTCTACCATTGGAGATACTCTGACCCATAATTTTATATTCTTCGTTTTAATCTAATCCCCGTATTATAATATACGGAGTATAATATTCCTTATATATTACACACACGTAAGGATTGAAAAAGACTTAATTCTTTTTATATACTTGTTGTGATCATTATATATAAGTAGTATGTATTAATTAATGTATATGTACTAACATATACTCCGTAAATGTTGCACAAGTAACGATCACTCAGGAATACGAGGCCAAAGCTCACGCGGATGATTCTCGTGCAAGCCTTTTTCTGCGCATTATTTGGGTAAGGAACTATGAATGTTATCCCAAGTCCAGACTATATATGTCATTATCATCAGAACAATCCAAATTCAGATGTATATATATGACTGTGATTGTGGGACTTGGGAATTTCTGGTTTGAGACGTGAACCTTTTTTGTAACTACTTCATAAATAGTACTACCTCCGTCCCACTAAGATTGGGAAGGGAGAAAGCGGTACAATTATTAAGAAAAGTGTGTTTATACGGTTGATATTAAATTGATAAAGTAGGAATAAAGTAAGAATGGTTTATAACCACACAATCTTTACCAAATTTGGTATAAGACAATCTTAGTGAGACTTCCCAAAATGATACTGAGACAATCTTAGCGGGACAGAGGGAGTAAATAATAATATTGCCATTGTTATACTAGGATATTTATGTAATTTAGATTTAATTCTATTTCAAACAAAATAAAATTACATTTAAACAAATTATATTAGAAAAACTAATTAAACCGCCGTATTTCATTATTATCACAAACTAGTCTATCACCCGGGGCATGCCCCGGTTGTGTCACTTTGGTGTAAAGTTGCTTTTCAACTCCTTTTTAGTCCATATTATAGCAGCTCGTCCATGTCTAGAATCACATCCATGGCGGGAAGAGTTTTATAGAAATGCTTTCGTAGCTCGCCCATACCTAGAACCACCTCCATGTCAGGATAGGGTTGTAAAAGAATCAAATAATTTGTACTCGATTCGCGATTCGAATTCATATAAGATGATTCGAATTCGGAAAATTCAAATAAGAATATTAAATTTGATTCGAGTTGTTATCAAATACAAATAAGAATATCAGTATATTCTATTCGAATATTAATCAAATATATTCAATTAATAATAACTGTAATATTAATATCAATATTAGTAATAATAGTAATAACACTATACTCCCTTCGTCCCTAAATAAACTTCCAACTTTCCTTTTTTGTCCGTCCCAATTAAAACTTCCACTTTTCCTTTTTGGCCAGAATTTGTGGTTCAAAGCAATTCTTACACATTTCTCTCTCTTCTGCACACTCTCCACCACACAATACTCACTATCTTAAACTGTGTGTCAAACCTATTTGGAAGATAAATTAGGGACGGAGGGAGTAATAACTTTTAAAAGATAGAAATATCCTCAAAGTGTAGCCTATACACACACTTTTGCATACAAACTCCAAGCCCATTTGTAATAAACCAGAATTTAAATACGAATACAAATCAATTTTTTGGTTCAAATGTCTTTCAAATACAATACAAATAATTATGTATTCAATTTGAAGAATAAAATTAGAGTTGTTTGACTATGATATATACAATTATCAACCTATTTCACACATTATAAGTATAATTTTTAATATGTGTGTATTAGTGTTTATTTCAAAAAGTTTGAAATAGATTTATGTTTATAAATCATAAAATTAAATCACTTTAGTATATTACGCACTATCTAAAAATGCATTGATCCATTACATTTAAATTCTAAAAACACATATTAAGTCATAACATGCATTTAAAACATAAAAAAATATGGAGTATAAGAAAAGTCAGACTTGCATAGTTATAAAATATACAAAGACCAGACATTAAACTGACCAGACCAGTTCACACCAGATCAGACCAAACCAGACCAAAAAAAATTCAATCAGATTAAAAAGCATCTTTAAAGTGATTTGCGATTTCATTTTACGCAATAGTAAGCTTGATGTTGTTAAATAGTTTGATTTTCTAATGAGATAAAAAACGAAATTAGTAGCAAATTATTCCCAAATAAATTACTAAAAAGAAGTCAATCAAAATTGATAGGATGAAGCTGATAAACTTGACGTATAAAAATATAGTAGAGTCCTATGTTTAATTAAATTCTTAGTAGAGTCCTATGTTTAATTAAAATATATATAGTAGAGTCCTATGTTTAATTAAATTCTTTAAAAGTTGTGAGCGGCCTAAGGTCACGTAGGAGTTCCTAGCAGGGAGCTAATTTACGGCATTTAATGAATTAATTAACTGTTTTAGTATAATGATAATACTTATTTGTGTTAACCAATGAGAGAATGACAAATCGATCACTATTTTATAACTCAGTTTTACTATATAAAACAATAGATAGTACGATAGTACTACGTAAATACTAATATTGCCATTGTTATGATAGGATATACGTAGTATGTGTAATATAGATTTAATTCAATTTCAAACAAAATTTCATCCAACACAAACAAATTATATCATAAAAACTAAAACATCATCCATTGTTAATTTGTTATAAGTAGGGGTGGGCCCGGTCCGACAGTCCGGCCAGGTATTAAAACCAGGTCCATTTAGAGTTGTTCTGGGCCTGGGACCGGGCCTATCCGCCTTGAAGCGGTTCATGTTACCGGTTTACATTTTTTGGGGACAGACCGGGCGGTTCCGGTCCTGGTTTTGGTCCCATCCCGGATTTTTTTAAACCATTGGTCTTGCCAAAATAAGAAAAAAAACATTAGTGAGAACCAGGACGGGAACCGAGACCAGGCGAGTAACCTAAACTAGCCCAAACCTAGAAAAAAGCGGTTCCGACCTAAGCCCAAACAATTTTTTGGACCGGGCGGTCTCCGCCCTGAATCAGGACCAGACCGACCCGGGTCCATCCCTAATTATAAAAGATTTTTCCTAATTTAAAAGAGAAGAACTTATGTACAAAAAATTAGACCATTCATAATAGATCATACGACAAGTAAAATCTCATTCAATAAATTTAATATTCTTCAAATTGGTGATTATTCTGCTCTAAAATAGTAACATTATTATAAGATGAGAACTATGGTATTCGTTTAAAAAGAGTAATGTACCTATTCATTTAGTATATCAGTTTAATTTATATTTAAATAAAAAAATATTCCAATTGATTAGTTCATGTGAACAAATGTATGGTAGGACTCTCCAAATTATAACGATAGATGTTTTACCAAACCAATTGAGAGTAGGGACTTGATCGCTCGAACTTGATGAGGATTGGACTTGTACCTTAGCCTTTTAGAGTATGTGTTATTTGTTTGACTTTAACGTGGTATATTGGTGTACATTTCATTATTTATTGTCTCATGTACTAGAGTTTTGGTTTATGAGTATGTAAGTTCTGACAAATGGGATTCAAATGTTTTAGATTGCAAGAAGAAATATTACTCCGTCTCATTTTATGTGTCATATTTTGATTTGGCACAATTAGTATTTGAAAAAGTGAAATATATTGTTGAGATTTGAGTATAATAAAGTGAAATGTTGTAGATTACATATTTCTTTCCAAAAAACGAAAATGTAACACTCATTTAGGGACAATCAAAAACGAAAAGTAGAACAAGTAAAATGCGACAGAGGGAGTATCACTTAGCTTGGAGTATCACTTAGCTTGGAGTATCACTTAGCTTCTTAGATATTACTACAGTTATTCTTTGCAAAAAAAACTACACATATACTTCGTATATAATATCGTACATGAGTATATATAGTGAATATATTCATTGCAAAAAGTTTTTTAATCGCATGCGCAGGGGTTCAATGAATCAAAATTTGTTCGCGGAGAGTGTAGTCCTGACCTCGCCGACTTTTGCCAGTGCCATCGTTAATCTCATTCCTGCATTTACTTTCATCTTAGCCATTCCTTTTGGGTATACGCTACACTCCTTATATCCTTATGTTTACTACCCACATATATTTTTTTTTACCACGCCCGTGATGACTTGAACATCATTTGTTAAAACAAAATACTTAGGAGTAAAATCGTTTAAGAATTTCAAAATAGAAGTTCTGTCTTATTCGGAGTAACTATTGTCATGCATTTTTTGACATTCCCATACACTGATATTTTGAAATTTCAAAACATCTTTAATCCTATTTCGGAAATTTTCTCGTTGTCAATTACCATGGAAATTCAAGAGTTACAGTTTTTATTTCTTTTGACAAAAAATGAAGCATATGCATATATGCAATTGCGCGTCGTTTATAATGAAGTCAAACTTGATCAAAATGCTATGCACTGTCTTATTTGTTACGGTGTACTATCCCGATCAGTTGAACGTATTGGTGGTGTTATATATAGAAAATTAATCCCCTATCAATTAATTTTGTGCATATAAAGAAGAACGTATTGGTGTTGTCATAGAAAATTAATCCCCTATCAATTAATTTTGTGCATATAAAGAAGTGTAGGTAGAGTAAAACCTATTTGGTAAATACGCTAGCGCTTATATTTCAATTCATATATTGATATATATTCTACTTATAAACTTTGCCACTTTGAAATGCTTGTAAAATGTGAAAATAAAACTTGTGTGGTGACAATTCCTATATAGAAGAGACAAAAATTTATGCATGTACAACACAGTATGAATTACGAAGTATTATACTCTACTAGTGGAAAGGTTATAAGATGGTCAAGTAAAAATAAAAATGGTCAAATCATAGAGGTGAGAAATGGGTTATATATGCTACATCATTTCTGTTTCTTGTACACACCGGGTTCCACACTGGCTTACGCTCCCAAGTGTAATTGTCTGCACACACACACAATTATGCTTGGGTTTTAGTAAAGTGAAATGTTTGTGACTTCAAAAAATGAATTGTCTATGCACCTACGATTTGGGATCACGGACACTTACTTTTACTAAACTCAAACGTAATTGTCTATGTACAAACAATTACACTTGGACGTGTAAGCCAGTGTGTAATCGATAGTAATCCGATGTGTACACAAAGCACTCTCCATGCTACATAATAGAACGACTATACATATGGTACAAGGTTGGAAAAAGTGGGTCTGAGAACGAGGGCCGGGCAAGCGAAAGTGGCTGGAACATTACTTGGGATAGGAGGGGCAATGGTCCTAAGTTTCTACAAAGGGGCCCAACATCAAATTTGGTCAACACGAAAAAGTGGACACGTGGCAGCTGCACCACAACCGCCACACACTTCGGGGTCCCACTTATTGGGTGTTTTCATGTCACTAGCATGCGTTCTCTCTAGTGCAATTTCCTTAATAGTTCAGGTAATACACTAATTTTTAACTATTTAATAATGAGCTGGAAAATCTATTTATGCACGCCATTTATACGAGTTTTCACATCCACGCTCAAGTTGTCAGTGTAAACGAGCAATTCATCAAAAAGTCACATTTTTTAGAAAATTGAATGCAATGGAATTGAAATGTCTATGTGACGTGTAAAAGACGTGTATGCACCCGGACGAAGAAAGACTCTAAAAAGTTTGGACCGTTTGGTTATTGTAATTAGGCTAAGATGAGCAAGGTGTACGACTGCCATTATTCTAGCACCGCCTTGATCACCGTCATGGGCTCGCTTCAATCGGTGGTGTTTGCATTCTGTACGGAGAGGGGTTGGAGCCAATGGAAATTAGGATGGAACCTTAGGCTCCTCATTGTTCTTTATGCTGTGAGTAAACTGAAAACTCTTTCTCATCGCGCTTCTTGTCATTTTTAATGCATGAAAATTTTGAAACTCGTGTGACGTACAAGTTCATTACATAGCTTGTGTGGTTCGACTGTGCAACAAACTCGGATGTGTTACAAAATCCTAAGAGAATAATTAAGTTTAACTATCAATTAAATAAAGTAAGTGTTTAGTACTTTTGTGTAGCTGAGATATCATATCTTTGGCAAAATTAGTGACAAATTTATTCGTAACACAAAGACTTGTGTTTGGAAGCAGTTAAATATGTTGTTGTTACGTACCCTCATGATCAATTATTACGTAGTTTAACATAAGAAGATGTGGCACGCTTTTAATCAATTAAGAAGAGGTAATAAATGTGCATAATATGTATGTTGGTGGAAAGCTTCCCTCATTAAACCCATTTCCACTTTCGTTCATCATATTGTTAAATTGGTGTGATTTGCCAATATACCCGTTGCAAAAGTACTCCGTATATGTGTAGATTTTGTTTACGAGTGAGGTATCTAGTTATCTACGATTCCTACTAGTGTAGATCTAGGTAGAATTTAATTTTGGTAGGGTACGTTGAGCTGAAGATAGGCTAGACTAGTCTTAATGAAATATTTAGATGGGCTGCAAGCCTGCATATAAAAAAGAATTGACGATAATTTTGGAAAAAATAAGTTGGCCTTAGACTTGGGGAAATTGTCCTAAATTGAATAAAAACGTTTGTGTATTTCAAAATAGGATAATCATTATTTTATTTACTAAATATGAGTAATTATTGTCTGTTTTGGCAGTACCAAACATGACAGTTCTATTTTGGATTCCTAATCGTTTTTACCCTATTTTGAAATTCTCCCTAGAATTTATCAATTTACAACTATAGGTGTATGTATATAAGTCAAGAAAGAGATTACGAAAAGCAAAATGTTGTTGGTACATGTTTTGGTTATACCCTCCTATTTATTTGTCTACATAGGCAATTTTAGGGGTAGGTTCGGTTCTTGCGGTTCAGTTTTGACCTAAAACCAAATGTAGAATCAAAGTAAAAAGTTCGGTTCGGTTTCGGTTCGGTTTTACACTCCAAAACTTGGAACCACGGTTTCATCGATTCGGTTTGTTTCGGTTCGGTTTCGGTTTTTTCGATTTTTTTACCAACATTTTTTCACTTGATTTTAAATTGATATAATACTTAGAGGGATCAAACATATTACATAAAGAATTCAAGCACAATATAAACCAAGCACTCCAGCCTAGCTGGTTGCGAGGTTACCGTGCCTAGCGAGAGGTCTCGTGTTCGATTCCCGCTAGGCACACAAGGGTGTGAAACTCAATGGAGTGTGTTTCAGCCCTGATTACTCCAGGCTCCCCTCAGCCCCCCCTCCCCCTGACCCCCCTGGAGTAAAAAAAAATCAAGCACAATATAACGGCAAATAAAATAAAAAAGAGAAGAGATAAATATGTCTTGAATTTTATGAGTATGCGAGATAGATAAAACTGTATATATTATTGATTTAATTTGTTTGTGAGTAGTTTGAAAATTTTTCATGAATATATATGTTCTATGTGATATAGTTGAGATTAATATTTATTGTTTTATCAATATAAAATCTTTAATTAGCTAAAAATAAAAGTTAATTACTACTAATAACTAGTAAACACATATGATCATCATTCAATATAGCTATTATTACAGACAATGAATGTGTAAATGAATTTATAAACTAAATTAAATTAAACATAACACAAACATTATTTCTCTAACACAAGAAAACCAAAGACTATTGATGATATTAAGATTAACTAGAATTAATGCTTAACAATTAACATTTAAATTTCATATTTTAAATAGTTCGGTTTGTTCGGTTCGGTTCGGTTTTGAAGGGTAAAAACCAAAACCGAATCGAACAACTTCGGTTCGGTTCGGTTTTTTACATTCGGTTTCGGTTTCTTAGCGGTTCGGTTTTATTTGGTTGCGATTCGGTTTAATTTGATTCGGTTTTCGGTTTTCGGTTTTCGGTTTTTCGGACCCAGCCCTAGGCAATTTGTTCGGAAAGTATCTTGAAGCAGACAATTGAAAAGGATGTAAACACATTGTGTACAAAATGTCTTCCCCAAGCGTAACTCTATGGATAGGAAATGAAGTGAATCACATTATTTTACCTTACGAAAGAAGGGACAAAAGGTTGTACTACATAATAATTAAACATAATAGTACAATGTATTCTGACCATTACTCAGAACTCGGAACATATCATTACCAGATTTCTTTTTGCAAATATCATTATCAGTTTATCAATTGTTTACATGGATTATTATTATTAATATTATTGTTAAATACGTAGTAACAAAAAGTGTATTTAATTGAATTTAATTTGTGTCTTCAAAAAAACTGATGTGTTTGAATTGCATATGTGCGTAGGGGGTGATAGCATCGGCATTGGCAATAACTTTTACAATGTGCAGCCTACGAATGAGAGGCCCTTTGTTTGTATCGGTTTTCAACCCATTGACGCTCGTGTCTGTGGCCATTGTTAGTACTCTCTTCCTCAAAGAGGAGCTTTTCGTGGGATGGTACATACCTACTTCCATTACCTACTAGCTACACTACATCTTCTCCTTTATTATACTCACTCATCATTTCTCTTTGCCTAAATGATGAATATTAGATGGATAAAACAAGTTATTCCTTAAAATTCTTCTCATTTATTTTTTTGGGACGTCCCAAAAAGTAATCGGATTTCCCTTTTTAAAAAATTGTGTGTAACTATCATTCATTTACACTCCTTTCCCTTATGTAAAAAAATCATTCATTTACATTTTTCTTACTCAACCACAACTATACATTTCAACTTTATTCATACTTTCTTAAACTTCAATCGAAATCAAATCGGGAGGAATTTTAAAGAACGGAGGAGTGTATCAAACATAGATCTCCGCATCAACATTATGCTATAACTATCACAAGTCGCAAAGTGTGGCGCAAGCTATTTGGACTGTGACGGCACCTTATTTAATTTTTCAAGTACTCAGGTTGCAAAATTCAAATTTTATTAAAATTGTACTCAAATTACCTTTAGTATATAGTACTAGTATATTAGTATACAATAATGTACAAAAATCATGGGAGGAAAGACTAAGGGGCGGCTACCAGTCTACGCAAACAGCCCAGCCTCCTTGGCTCCTTGACACTTTTATGTAATGTAAGTCTTAGGAATTAGGACGTAGAGTTATGGAGTATGACTTTCAATAGAATTGAAGGTCCCTAGTGAAATTGTTAAAATGACATTTCATAAATGATCGAAAAAAATCATTTTATAGGGGTTGGATCTGTCTTACATGGGCAGTGTGAAAAAAAATAAAAAAGATGTGATTGATAATGATTGAAGAAAACGAGAAGTTAAACTGAGCCCTTCCATTTTGGAACGCTAATGACAACATCAATAATTATCATAATCATATTAGATGATAGTGATCGAAATGGAAATATAGGGTTGGAATGTGGGATGAAAATTTCACACCCAAAAGAAGTAGACAAAATTCGGTATGAGTACGTTGAACCCAATGAGATCGACTTAGCAATCTATGTTACGGATGAAGTGTGAATTTGACAGGGATTAAGGTTATATACGAGGTATTAGTTAGGGCGGGATCAACAAATGAGAGTACTATAATAATGATTTTAACACAAGTCGTAATAAGCCACAAGTCTATATTATTATGATACTTTGAATTTGGATTAAAACTTTTGGCCGTTTTGGGTATAATATGGTTAATTTAAGCCTGATATGACCTCACCTTGTAAGAGATATTACCCGAAATATGACTAAAAAGGTTTGAAAATTCCAAAATAGGACTGCCATGTTTTTATTTTCAAAATAGGACTAATTACTGTCATGTTTTGGCAGTACCAGACTTCTATCATGACAGTATTTTCCAAACATGACAGTAATTACTCCTATTTTGGGAATAAAGAACTTGGCAGTTTTATTTTGGAATTTTCAAACTGTTTTAGAGCCCGTTTGGTAGCACCAAAATCGGCTGTTTTGGCTGATTCTGCTGAAATTTATGATATTCTGGCTGGAGTGGCTGTTTTGGCTGATTCTGCTGATTTAAGAAAAAAATATTTTAAAAATATATTTTATTAATAAATTAAAGAAAAAATTATATGTAAAAATAGCTAAAATGGTCCTCTACAGTAACTTCAGCCAATACAGCCAGAAAAGTAACTCCAACCTTACTTTTTCGGCTTATTACACAATTCAGCGCGCGAAAGTAAAAGTTACGTGTTTGGTGAAAAAGCTGGCTGATAAGCCTGATAAGCCGAAAACAGAGTTCTCCAAACGGGCTCTTAGTCCTATTTCGGGAACTTTCCCCACCTTGTAAAGGTCTAATCTGACTCCAGTGAAAACATTTTTAGCTGGTATCGGTCTGAATGCCTCCCTCCCCATCGTGTAACAAGTCCATGATGTTATGTGCTAACTCTATTTTATTTGTTCCAAAAGTGTGATTGGAGCGGTAACAATAATTGCGGGGTTATACATGGTGATATGGGGAAAGAAGGCAGAAATGAAGAGCATCTCCGACGTAATACCATCATCTAGAAGTATCGGGAATGAAGAAGAAGAAGAAGGTTCACATATCAACCGGAGAAATGGTGTCGTCGACCTTGACAACAACCACCACGTTGTCATTTCTCCCAACTTGAATTTTCTATGGTACTCTAAAACTGAAGAAGTAAGAGGAGAAGAAAATGAAATGGAACTCAAAGAAGGAACAATTGTTGGACAAAGTTCTAATGTCTAGCCAGTCTTATATTATACATCCGTACCCGTAGACGTATACACTGTAATATATTTTTTTTCAACAATCGGACGACAAGTTTTATTTGATCTTATACAAGAAAATAATGTTATTTTATCTTTTTTAATCTCACAATTTTTATGAACTATTAGTAAGTGGTAACCAAATCAATCTGTAACTTATACGGAGTATCGGTCAATTATTACTACGAGCACTACTATATCCTTAAAATATATTGGAGTATATATAACATATCGAAGATTCAATTTGCACAACTGCATTTATTTATAAGTTAGTGAGTTTGCTTTCTCAGCATCTTAATCTCATGTTCACTTAAAAAAAGCATCTTAATCTCATGTTCACTAAAAAAAGCATCTTAATTAATCTCATGTTTAAATTTTGAAAGATATAAACATCCAGCATGTAACCATTCTACATGAAAAACATATTACAGAAAAAAAAAAACTTATTACTTTATTAGAAATTATTGTCATGAATATGAGTTAAAACGTTTTGAAATTTCAAAATATGATATTCATGTTTTTATTACCTAAATATGAGTAATTTCTGCCCAATTTGGAAAAAATTGTCATGTTTAAAGCTTGGTAATGACAAACTTGGCAGAAATTATTCTTATTTAGGGAATAAAAACATGACAGTCCTATTTTGAAATTTCAAAATATTTTTACTCCTATACAAGCATCATCTTAATTTGGACAAATGCTAGGATATCTATCGAAAGGAGAATAATTGTTCTAAATCGGATTATCCCCTAAATATAAATGCACAGATAAGACTCGATGTTCTTATTCCCTAAATAAGACTAAATATTACTTTTTTACCCCTAATACAATTAATTAATTCATATAATTATTTGCCTCCTAGTCAGGGCTGGTCCTAGGGGGTGCAACAGGGACGACCGCCCTAGGCTCCAGAAAATAGCAAGAAAAAATAGGCCCAAAAATATTTCTTTATATGTAGTGTGAGTAGACTTCTTTTTTAATTTTTAAACTCAATTAATTAGACCCAAGGTTTAATTTTAAAATAAATGTAAAGAGGCACGTCTGTCTTAATTGTCTTCACATCTCTATGCTTTATAATCCTTTCAATTACAATATTACTATGTTATGTTAAGCCTCCCAATTACAAAGCTCCCAATTGGTAAAGCCCATCCAAATTAATTTGTTGTTTCCAAATTTCAAAGTCAACAAGAGTAAAGAACACTGCAAAGCGGTGAGTGCTTCAACAGTTTGTTAAGAAGCCAATCAATCGAGGAGGCCAAACGGCGGTCGGTGACAAAAAAAACTTCTTTCAAGGCTTCAAACAATCCAATAATGACCAATAAACTATTCTTGATAAAATGGGTGAATCAGGTTGGGACAGAGAGAAAGAGGAGAAGATGAGAAAAGGTAGGCTTAAGTTAGAAGGGGTCAATGGAAAAGAAAGGGTTAAGAAATTGAATCTTGAAAATTCAGCGAGAAACATTTTTAAGTAATGTACTAATGTTTTTCAAAGTTGAAGAATTTGTGAATTATATGTGATCGACTATGTCTTAAGAAAAGTTTAATGGGTTAGCAATTTTAAGTATTGAGCATGAGGTATTGGAAAAAGATGATTATGAAGCAATTATTGATGATTTTGCTTCACAATGTTCTGCGAGAAAGATTTTTAAATAATGTTTTTATTTTATGTGATATTTGTGTTGTTACTTTTCACCAAATATGTATTATAAATGATAACAATAAAATGAGATTCATTTTTATTTTATGACCTTTATTAGATAATTTTATTATAATTATTATTTTAAATAAGTATAATTTATTGTTTGTCTTGCATATAAGCCCAAAATATTATCTTGTCCATAGGCCCGAATATAGACAGGACCGGCCCTGCTCCTAGTACATACCTTTGCATAATCAATGTCAATTTGTTGTTGGCAGAGCAGTCCTATGGTGGCAGCAGAGCACCGGCGGTGGTTTCCAGCCGTGGCAATGATGAGCACAAATAATTACTCCTATTTAGAGAATTTAGAATAATAACTCATATTTTAGGATTTGGCACATGTTTTACTTCTTTTTGGGGAATTTAATTTATAAAGAATTTGTGTGTGTCTATACACACACACACAGATTTAGGATCAAATGAGAACAATGCTTAACTTGAGAACGCCACAATTACTTCAACGTATTGTACAATGAAGATTGTCTATTGCACATTTTCACGTTTTCACAATGTTTACCAAAATGCAACCGTCTTTATTTAATTTAGGCTTAATCCGAGCAAATTTAAAATGTGAAATAGAAGAGCTCCATTGTGCACTGCATGTATTTAAATGTGAGGGTTCTCACATTCTCACGTTAAACGTCGTTCTTATTGGAACCGCAGTCAAGAAATTCTTAAAGGAATTTCGGCATCAAGTCTAGCTTATCCACAAAAATATTCAGCTAAAAATTAGATCGAGAAGGCAGTCAAATAATTTGTTGAAAATAACTGTGTTTTATATATTTAATTTGGCGCAGTCACTGTTCTAAAAATCGGCCTAGGCGGACCGATTAATCGGCCTAGGCGCCCTAGTCGGCCCTAACTGTAGAGGCCTAGTCAGCCTAGTTGGTAAAAAAAAATCGGCCTAGTCGGCCAAAAAATCGGTCTAGTCGGCCGCCTAGGCGCTAGGCGCCCCTCAACCGCCCGACTAGCGCCTAACGAGTTTTAGAACAATGGGCGCAGTTATCTTCAAAAAATTATTTGACTGCCTTCCTGATCGAATGTTTATCTGATTTTTTGTGTGGATAAACTAGACTTAATGAGGAACATTTCCTAAAAATTTCATCAAACAATTCCACCGGGAACCGCCCCAAACGGCGGCGGCCGGACGGAGGATCCAGTCCCTTCAGCTGGACAGGATCATTCATATATATATATATATATATATATATATATATATATTCCGGACCAGTTAACTTGAAAAAATCATTTGACGACCTTCCCGATCGAATTTTGAGCTGAAATTTGGTATGGACAAACTAGACTTGATGAGGAACATGCTCAAAAAATTTCATCAAAAAATTACACCGGGAAGGTGCCCAAACGGGCTCGGCCGGACGGGGCAGCCCGTCAGGCCGGCCTGACATGAAGTTTCCTCTATATATATATATATATATATATATATATATAGTATATATATATATATATATATATATATACTATATATATATATACTATATATATATATATACTATATATATACTATATATCATATATATAGTATATATATATATATATATATATATAGTATATATATATATATATATATATATATATATATATATATATATAGAGAGAGAGAGAGAGAGAGAGAACTGCTCAGGTCCAGCCGGAGGGACGGGAGCAGCCGTCCGAACTTCACTGTTTGGGGCAGTTCCCGGTGGAATTTTTTGATGAAAGTTTTTGAGCATGTTCCTCATCAAGTCTAGTTTGTCCATACCAAATTTCAGCTCAAAATTCGACCGGGAAGGTAGTCAAATAAATTCTTGAAACTTACTGCACTTTATATATGCGCAGAATGTGCAGTAAGATTCATGAATTTATTTCACTGCCTTCCCGGTCGAATTTTGAGCTGAAATTTGGTATGGACAAACTAGACTTGATGAGGAACATGCTCAAAAAATTTCATCGAAACATTCCATCGAGAACCGCCCCAAACAGTGAAGTTCGGACGGCTTCTCCCGTCCCTCCGGAGGGACCTGAGCATTTTTGTGTATATATATATATATATATATATATATATATATATATATATATATATATTATTGGACAATGTTCAAATAAGGTAGGTCTAAGAATTGTAATTCTTAGGCCTCTTTCATTTGAGATGCTACTGGGTTGATCGAATTTTTTGAGCATGGTCTCCATGAATCGTAGATTATGTCCACCAAGTTTCACAATAAAATTCTATCGGGAAGTCAATTAAATAAATTATTGAATATAAAACTGCATTTTTATATATAAAAACCTGCGCAATTTTGAAAAAAATATTTAACCGACTCTTCGATTGAATTTTAATCTGAAATTTGGTGTGCATAGTCTAGACTTCATGGATAACATGCTCACAAAATTCCATCAAAAAATTCAACCTGAATGTGCCTCAAATGAAAGAGGCCTATGAATTACAATTATTAATCTACCTTACTTGAATATTTTCCGAGATATATATATATATACACACACATGCATGCATGCATGCATGCATGTGTGTATACATACATACATACATACATACATACATACATACATACATACATACATACATACATACATACATACATACATACATACATACATACATACATACATACATACATACATACATACATACATACATACATACATACATACATACATACATACATACGTATGCATGCATGCATGCATACATACATATGTACATACATACATACATACATACATACATACATACATACATACATACGTACGCATGCATGCATGCATGCATGCATGAGGCCTATGAATTACAATTCTTAGTCTACCTTACTTGAACATACGTACGTACGTACGTACATACCTACAGACATATAGACAGACAGACAGACATACATACATGCATCCATGCATCCATGCATGCATGCATGCACACACACACAGACACACACACACACACACACATGAACACACACATGCACACATACACGCACACATGCACACATACACACACACATACATACACACACATACAAACATGCATACAAACATGCATGCATGCATCCATACATGCATGCATACATGCATACATACATGCATGCATGTATGGACACACACACTGTCACGCCCCGGACCTGCCGGACACGTCAACCACCCACCGTACAATACGAATAGTCAACCGCAGTCCAACTCATCCATACTGTACAAGGCGTCTTGTATACCATTGACACATAGTACATCCATAAACAAACATGCTGTAAAATATTCATTTAAAGCAGCGGAAGTAATATAACAAGTGTTCAAGCCACACTTGGCAACACGGGCATACAAGCCCCAAAATAATAATTATTCAGAAAATATTATCCATGAGCATTAATTTAAATGTTTTTAAAACAGAAACGGAGGAAGC